CAGTGTTTATTCTGGCAGTGTCAGTGGCTGAAAGTGAGCACACGAGAGGCTTCTGGGATTCTGGTGGTGATATGTTTCTTGGTCTGAGGGCCGGTTAAATGAGTGTGTTAAAATATATCAAACCATACACTTACACTTCTTCGATATGTCTTGAACTTAAAAAGTTTATTTAAAAGGATCACTATGCCTGGATTAAAGACATGAAGGTAGAATAAATGCTGGCAGTAATTGTCTTTGCATCATGAGACTGTGAATAGATACTGTCCTTTTGTTCCTATACTTCTTTGAATTTTCAAACCATCTTTAATGAATTTGTATTAGTTTTATAACACAAAAAAATAAATGAGCTTTAATAAATACACATATAAATGCACATGTGTGTGTGTGATTTTGCCAGCATGTCCAAATCCTGCAATGGACAAGTGGACTGCGTATTTTGATAGCCTGATCTGACAAGGAGAAGGGAGGAAACGCCCCCAGGCCAGTTGTCTGAAGGCAGCCAATTCAACAAAGTCGATCCTCAGTTGGCCTTTGTGTCGGATAGTGTTCTGATACCTACTCAGCAGTGTTATTGTCAAACTAAGGAATGACCATATGAAGCTCCTAGCTCAGTCCCTGACACATAGTAAGCATTTAATAAATAGTAGCCATTATGATTCTTATATATTATTGTAAACAAGACTCCTATACTTTACGGTTGGTAAATAATGTGTCTAGATCTGTTGTTCTTTTCTACTAATATAAAGCTGGTCCTTTGTTAGTTCTTCCTCAACAACTTGCACTGCTAATTTTTTACCTCTGCTGTATCTAACTTTGATTAACAGATGTCAAAGTTTGCCTGTGTTTCTGACTTTCTTTCCTTTTTTTCCTCCCAGATCCTCACAAAGATCCAGCGTGGTGATCGTGTACTTTCTTTGTTAGGTGGAGGGATGCAGAATCCTTGAATTTCTCTGCTTATCTGAGTTACCTCAGGCCCTTTTCACATTTAGACAAATTACAAATAAAAACATTTATACTTAAGATATACATTCAGGTGGAAAAATACCTTATGGTAACCTCATTATATCCCTAGTGTCACTACCTTAATTCAGTCCCTGATTATTTTAAACTTGGACTAACATACCCGTCTTCTAACTAGAGTAGTATTTCTGAAACACAAATCTGATTATTTTATTCCCTTTGTTTAAAGCCTTTCAATGGCTTCCCCTTCCCTCGGGAGGAAGAAGGAGGTTCCGTGGCATGGTTTTCAGGTCTCTTGCTGGGCTTACCTCTGCCTTCGCCTGCCTTTCATCTTCACATCCTGGTCTTCCTCTTCCTGTGCTCTTTTCTACAACTTTGTTGAACCACCTAAGGTTCCTCCAGTTTGCCATGTTTCATAAATTGCATCCTCTGCCAGAGATCATTGATCTTCACCATCTGGAAGCCCTAAATTCTTTCCTGCAGAAATACTGCCTTTTCTGTGGAGCCTTCTGCGATTCAGGGGAGATACGATCTCTGTTCATGTTCTCATAGTACTTTATATGTACCTTTTTTATAGAAGTTGATATTAATCTGTAATTATTTCTCTATATCTCTGCTTCCCTCCCTATTTTCTGAGCTCCTTGAGGGCAGAATGTCTTACTCATTTTTGTGACTCGTTGCCTAATATAGTACGTGACACTGAATAAGAGTGAATGTGTGAATGAGTTTTAATTTGTTCTTGTTTTTCCGGTTGTAGCTTTTTAAATAACTCGAAAATATAACCAGTAAATTCAGATGCTTACTATATATTTACATATGTACATATACACACATAGAGAATGTATAGTTACTGCAAATTCCACCTGGGATTTGTTTCTGGCAAAGAACTATTTTGGAAGTATTATTCATAGGGCCCTCAGACATATAGTACTAGTTCCACCTGGTACAGGGTTTATTAGGGGGAAAAAACCTAGAAGCAGAAAGAATCAGAGCATATATGATCTCCAAAGCTGTCAGTATCCCACTGAGAGGTGTGTGTGGGCCAAACTTGGGGGTTATATGCACAGCGACAAGCTATCCAGTGGAATGAGGTCCAGCCCCCGCAGTGCAGGACAGGAGTTGGACGTAACATCTCCACCACTGTGTAACATCAGAAGCTCCTTGGCTGGGGTAGAGACCTCATTAGAAAGGTGGTGGGAAGCCTCTGGAGCTCAGGAGCTAGACTCAGTGTGTTTTTCTTCTAAATCAGACTTGATGAGCCAGCTGACCACTCTGTTACCAAAGTGGAGAAGAAATGAGCCTCCACTGCCATCTCCTCAAATGGTAAAGAAATTAAGGACAGAAAGATCCCAATAATGCCTCCACTAAAACAGTTTTTGCTTTTTGTGTTCCCTTCCAGTTTTTATACACCAATATACGTGTAGACCCCTTTGTGAAGTCCTGGCACATAGCAAGCATTGAAGACGTGGCAGCTGTCATTGTTACTACTGTCGAAGGGAGAGTTATGCTTTTTTCCTATCTAGGCCTTTTTACCTTGTCTTTTCAGAAATATTAGACAATGAGCTTCTGTCTTTGATTGTGTTTTCATCTCCCCTCCTCAGAAGAGGATGAGTAACTTTCCTGATTGCTGAAATGGAGGAAAACTAGGTCATGTGCGGAACATTAGCTCTAAGGGAGTCTAGGAAAGGCAGTCTTTAGCTTTTCAACTTTTAGCACCTGTAAGACAGTCTGTAAGGAGTTCAGTTGAGTGAGCCAAGCTGCAGTGTCTGCCACAATCCAGGTGAGGTGCTGTTTTTCATTGGCACCTAAACCCCAAATAATTATTTTTTGCATGGTTGCCCTGATAGTATACAAACAATTTAACATGATTGTTTCTTTATTAATATACCATCCATTTTTTCTGTGTTGTTTTCATAATTAAATTACAATATATGATATTGCATTGGATTGATGGTTTATGCATTTCCTCATGTCCAAAAAATCCATAAAAAACAAACATTTTTTAGCATGTTAAAAGCAGCTTAGAATACTTATGGGCAACTTAACAGCAGACTGGGGAAATTGTAAGGATTGGTTAATATAGCTTAAATGTGTTTCCCTTTTAGAAGTAAGAATAAAATATAAATTTATTTAAGTATCCTCACATGATGTATTCATTTTCTGTTGCAGCTGTTACATATTACCACGACCTTAACAGCTTTAAAACAATGCAGTTGATCCTTTTACAGTTCCTGTAGGACAGAAATCTGGCAGGCTTGGTTGAGTCTCACAGGCCAAAACCAAGGTGCCAATAAGGCTAGGAGAAGCTGTTTCTATACTCCTTTATGGTATTGGCAGAATTGAATTCCTTGTAGGACTGAGTCTGAGTTCTACATTACCTTGCTGGCTGTCACCTGAGGGCTGTTCACAGTGTCTGAAGGCTGCCCGCTTTCATTGGTGTGGCTCTCTTCCTCCATCTCGAAAGCCAGCACTAAGAGTTGAGTTCCCTCGTGCTTCAAAACTCTCCTGCCTCCTCTTCCAGGGCCTCTCTGGGACGCTCTCTCTCTGACCCCAGCTGGGAAAAGTTCTCTGCTTTAAGAGCGCATGTGATTAGGTTAGTCTCACTCAGATAATTCAGGATAATCTCCCCACCTCAAGGTGTGTGTCCTCAGTCATATCTGCAAAGTTCCTTTGCCATGTAATGATGACATTCACAGGTTCCAGGGATTAGGATTTGGACATCTTCGGGGTCCCATAGTTCTACCTACCATATATGGCAGCTGTTAAGGTGATCTAAAAGAGTGTGTTTTTTCAAGTATTATGTGATGATATCCTGGTAATTATTGAGTGATTACATAATTTATTATCTTGTTATTACTTAAATGGTGTCTTAATGATATAATAAAGACCTGAATAACCAAACTAAGTTATCCACTAAGTTATCCTATTAGTTGCAAGAAGACTATTGGCATTGAAAGACTAGGCCTTAATTTTTCCTTCATTTAACTGGGATACTTAAAAAATAAGTAGAAGTAGACAGACACTAAACCAAGAATTTTATTTTTATAGAACAAATAATACATTTCTTTGACCAAATGTAGATGTTGTCTTTGTCCTTTCTATTTAAAAGACTGTTAATGTATTAGCATTTTCTTCTCATGAAAATCTCTCAGATTAGTAAATGTATAGTTAGAATTTTTGCTGATTGCTTTAAGACTGGCAGGAGGTTCCACATCAAAACCTTTTAAACATGATTAATTATCCACTTGTTTGAATGGAAAGCATGCCTTTAACATTTAAAGGTGGATTGTCTGAATCTTCTACTTTAGTCTGGGTTATAGTAACATTATTCAAATAATTTCTTTCTTCCTTTTTTGTTTTTTTTTGAGACAGTCTTACTCTGTCACCTTGGGTACAGTGCAGTGGTGTCCTAGCTCACTGCAGCCTCAAACTCCTGGGCTCAAGCGATCCTCCTGCCTCAGCTTCCCAAGTAGCTGGAAGTCCAGGCACGCACCACGATGCCCAGCTAATTTTCTATTTTTAGTAGAGACGGGGATCTCATTCTTGCTCAGGCTGATCTCGAACTTCTGAGCTGAAGCAATCCTCCCGCCTCGGCCTCCCAGAGTACTAGGATTACAGGCGTGAGCCACTGTGCCCAGCCCTTTATTTCTTAATTATTCTAAATAATACATACTTTAAAATGTGTTATCAAAGAAACAAACATGCATATCTCATTGTTGGGATATTAGACTGGTAAAAAATAAAGAACCCATCATTTGTTTTATAAATATCTTAAAAGAGGTTATGTAACTAATGCACTGTTAGGATTTTTCCTTTCCTCTTTTTTTTTTTTTTTTTTGAAAATGATTCAAGGAGGAACATTATGCTCATGTTAATGGTGCTTTGTTTCACATTTATCTCATTACTAGGAAAGTTGGATTTTTAAATTTATCTGTCTTCATATCTAGCGTCTGATCACTTTAAGCAGTCACATTATCACTCTCTTCTTTGTTCTTATGAAAATGCCCATTTTGCTCTTGCCATTTGTTATTTTAACATAGGATGAAGTAAGTGTTCCGGGTGGCAGTTCAGCTGACCTGTTACACTGGACCACTGCTACCACCATGAAAGTCCTTTCCAACACCACGACTACCACCAAGGCAGTGCTGCAGGCTGTGAGCGACGGGCAGTGGTGGAAGAAGTCTTTAACTTACCTGCGACCCCTTCAAGTAAGCACTGAGTCTTTTTTAAAAAATAAATTGTGTGGTTTATATCAATCTATTAGCACTGCTTTTCAGTTGTTTTACTGTTATATTTTTATCTTCTCTAGATTATTAAAATAATCTCTTAAGAAATATAGGCCTCCCATCAGATAGAGAATGAGTAATCTATTTTATAGAATATAATATACTCCTGAGGAATACTTGCAAAGGACACTAATAGTGAGTCAGGTAAGGCTTGGTTCAAAAATCAGAATTAAAATTTAGTGAGATGAAAAGGACGGTGATTTAATTAATGGTTACTTGCCTTTCCTGTATTTCTGTAGGCTAGTAGTTAAGCGAAAATACTAGGAGCCAGCTTGAGGACTCTGAGGAATGAGCCTAGTGTAACAGATTCTTGTTTCCATTCTGGGTAGGAGAAGTAGAGCGACTGAATTTGCTTTCTGGGATGTCTTAACCCCTAATTGCTCTGCTGTCTTTTCTGCATTCTCACACTGTGGTCCTGTAGTCTCACATTGGAAAACAAAGAGGAAAAAGAAACATATGCCTGCTTGTCAGTCCACTTAAAGCACTCATTGAGTATCCCATTCATTCATTCATCCAGCAAATACTTATTAGGCATTTTCTTTTACTTTTTTT